TTGTTATTTTGATGTTCTAGAAAAATTATCGGTAACATGATAATTTTGTCTTTTGTGCTGACTTATTATTATATTAGTATCGTTTAAAATGATAAGAATAACACATCAAGAATATGTGTATAAAAAGAATAATAGTGTTTTGCTACAAGACAAATTATATTCCGAAAGCTAAAATAAATACGTAAGTTTTTGTTTTTATGATATATTTTATGATAGTTACTTATGGCTAATTATTTAATAACAGGTAACTTTTATTGACTTCTGATCAAATAAAAAAAATTCAAAAGAAAATAAGGGACACCGTAATAATAATTTGTGACCACGCCTGCTTTCTAATATTATTGTAAAATTTAAGCTGACTATTATAAAATTTCAATAGGGATGTTAATATTGTAAGCGAGAGTTCAAATGATTAGTAATCTGCGTTAATCGGTTTTAGTCATTGACAGGAAATAGAACATGTTTTAACCAAATTCGAGATTGAACGTAAAAATTTTATTTTATTATCTAACAACAATTGATTATATTGAGAAAGACTGCCGTGCAGTCGAAACGTTTATGTATATTACGATTAATATTAATTTGATTTAAGTTTTTAGTCTCAATAAATGTTTTAATAGTTTAACAATTTGACACTGTAATTGTTATTGCTCGTTTTAGTTGGCCTTGGTTTTATTTATTATCCCTTTTTATAATTTATATTTATACGAACCTAATGATTTTATGCATGTATATATTTTATAAAATTGTAATTTTTAGACTACTATTTTATTCCTCTTAATAAATAAATTAAATTTAAATAAAATATAATTGGTTGATTTTTTAAATAAGTATAAAAACAAATATGTGAATTATTTATTAATAATAACTGTTTATTATAGCAGTTATAATTAAAGTATGCATTTAAAATTTATAATCTGTTTTACAAATCCGAGAAAAAAATTCATATACATATATTAATACATTATTGAAGAAGATATCATACAGCAATTATACAAGTATAATACTAATACAAATCAATAAAGTTTAATTTCTTATGAGCGTCTTATGAATATTCTTCAAAAATATATCGAATATTTCACACAGGCCATACTTATATAATTTTATATGTTCATAATACATTCGAAAAAATGACAGCTTGTTATTATGTGTTGCAATTATTCAAGTAAAAATTATTATTTTAATTTTTATTTGTATAATATATAAAAATTTATTTTTATTTTTGAAATTTGTATATAGCTAATTTGTATGTAATTTGTACGTATATAATTATAATTTAAGAAAATAATTGAGACAACTTGGTAATATTTAAGTTACATTGTATTTACAATTTACTGAATTAATATCGCATAACTGATTGAATGCTTCTGAAATCCGAATATTCATAGAACGTATTTATTTATAAAATTTTCATTTTTGTCATATACGTACATTGTGTCATATACATAATTCACTAGATGGGAAAGACTCAGATAAAAGTAATAATATATGTTATCTTGCATGTCACGAGTTAGTGACATTGAAAATAGTACGTAATAGTACGAAAATAGTACGCGTTTGAAAATAGTACAATTAAGATAGGAATAATGGTCCCTCTTTTTTTTAAGTAGTGTATATTAAAAATAACTTTTAAAAATAACTGTGAGACGACCCAACTGGCTTAAATTAATTCTTATTATTATTATTAGAATAATATAAAAATGCATGTCAGCAACCAAAATGTTATAAGCAAACATAGAAATGATTTTTCGCATGACTTTAAATGGACAAACTTAAATATCTTACATCGAGAAACAAACACTAGGAAAAGAGAGATTGCTGAAATGTTTTTTATAAAAAAATTCAATAACACGATCAACCTACAGAAAGACACAGAGAATTTGAATCCGATCTATGATAGAACAATCAAAGCTGTTTAACTTAGTTCGTCTTTACCATCCATACTGAACGTTTATGTGACACAGTGTTTATATTGAAATATGTAAAATGAAAAAATTAAGTATATATTGCACTAAAGAATTTGTAAGGTACGTTTTAATTGTTATTACAATCTTGGTTTGCGCTTTGCTTTCTTAAAAATCGAAATTCTTGTATGTACATCTATTGTATTTTTTAATGTTAATTTTAGACTTGATAAGGACCTAAACCTAAGGTCGAAACGTTGTCTTTTCTTGTATATGGCATCAAACTAATAATAATAAGAATTAATTTAAGCCAGTTGGGTCGTCTCACAGTTATTTTCAATTTTATTCATCACTGGCGATACAAGATATCTACTATTAAAATTAAAAAGTCTTCTCATACCCAGTTTTACATCTTCCACTAATTTCCTTAAGATCATGGGTACATTTGGATATAATCTGAGAGTTTCCTTTACGACCATATCGAGGTACTTTAATTGCTACAGCTCCTTTGAGATATTTTGCCGTTTTAAAACTTTTGCTCCTTACTGTATTTGTTTAAATATTGAGACTTATTTTGATTTTGATTTTCATTGAAATTGTAATTATTCTTCAATTAAGAAGCTCGCTGTTTTACTTTGAGACGCAATGAATTAACATGTTTTTTCGTGATAAATAATCAAGAGACACGGTAGTGTCTTGTGCTAAGTCCAAAAAAGAAAGTAATAATATATGTTGCCTTGCATGTCACGAGTTAGTGACATTAACGCAAAATAACGCGTCGATACGTTCGTTTGTCAGCAAGTTGCCAAGTATATACGTACAATGGCACCGAAAGTGTGTGTTAATGATTTTTGCGTGGATCGCCATAATATATCTTATCTTTCATTTTTGCCGGTTAGTTTTCGTCAAAATGGTGAAAAACATACCTGGTCCAAAGGCATTGCCACTCGTCGGAAGCGTCTTCCATTTGTTAAATAGAAATGCTGACGGTAATGAGAGACAATGATACGTTAGATTTATTTTCAAAAAAATGACAAAAAAATTAATTAATGTTAATATTTAATTGTGTGTTATATTAATATTTATATTAATATAATATATATATATATATTTATATATTGTTACATATTTTATATATATACTAGCTTTTCGGACCGCGCTTCGCGCGGTCCTCATATAGCCTATATTAAATCCGTTTTAACACAAAAATTAATTCTTTTTTTGTATTACCGCGAACTACTTCTACATTTGTTGTCCGACTTTCACGAAATTTATATCAAAATAAATGTTTAAATTTTTTTTGGATGACTACTATGTTATCTATTTCTTTCTCCCAGATATTTTATTTTACACCGCGTTTTGCATATATTTAAATATTTATTATATATTTTTATTTTTATTTATTTTTTTTATTTATATTTATTTTTATGCACATGGGTGCGTGGATACGTGGGTGGGTGCGTGGATGGGTGCGTGGGTGGATAAATAAAGTGATAAAAATTTGTTAAAATCATATAGTAGCCATCCCGGACAAAATTTGAGTACAAATTTCGAAAAAGTCTGTGAATAAATGTTTGAAGGCGTGGGTGGATGCAGGGGTGGGATAAAACTTAAAAGAACCACACAGCAGCTTTCTCAGAAAAATTTGCAACATTTTTGTACCAATTTCGTGAAAATTGGTCCATAAATGCGCATGCGTGTGGGTGAATGCGTGGGTGGAGGTGTAACACTTGAAAAAACCACATCGTCGCCATCTCCAAAAAATTTGCAACATTTTGGTACCAATTTTTACAAAAATCCGTTCATAAATTTGCGATTGCGTGGGTGGATGCGTGGGTGGGGGCGTAAACTTAAAAAATCCACACAGCAGCTTTCTCAGAAAAATTTGCTACATTTTTGTACTAATTTCGTGAAAATTGGTCCATAAATGCGCATGCGCGTGGGTGGGTACGTGGGTGGAGGTGTAACACTTGAAAAAACCGCATCGTCTCCATCTCCAAAAAATTTGCAACAATTTGGTACCTATTTAAAAAAAATCGGTTCATAAGTATGCGATTGCGCGGGTGGGTGCGTGAGTGGAGGCGTAAACTTAAAAAACCCACACAGCAGTTTCCTCAGAAAAATTTGCAACATTTTGGTACTAATTTCGTGAAAATTGGTCCATAAATGCGCATGCATGTGGGTAAATGCGTGGGTGGGTGAGTGGGTGGAAGTGTAACACTTAAAAAAACCGCATCGTCGCTATCTCCAAAAATTTTGCAACATTTTGATACCATGTATTCAGAAATATTGCAAAAAAATTTTTTTTGCAAAAACACCATCCTCTGAGGAAAAAAAATAAAAATAAAAAAATTAAATAAAAAAACCAACAGCAGTTACCCCCGAAAAATTTGCAACATTTTGGTACCAATTTCGAGACAATCGGTCCACAAATGCGAAAGTAGTTCGGGTACAGACAGACAGACAGACAGACGGACGGTGCTTATATATATAGATATATATATATTATTATATTATATGTATATTATATAGTTATTAGTGTTATCAGTAGTTAAAGGTTAATTTGTTTTTAAAAAAGTGTGTCATATAATTCTATCTGACACTTTTTTACAAAACAAATTAGCTTTTAACTACTGATAACACTATTGACTATATAAACAGGCTATAATATAACAATGACACGTATTATTCTTTTGAATTGTTGAGTCGCAACAACCAACACATAACATCAATATGTAAGTTATTGCAAATTTATATAATTCCGAGTGTTCTTTATTAGAATCCTTTTAACATATCTATTTTGAAAAAGGATTGAAAAAATGAAGAATTTCTAAAATGTCAAAATAACAGCTTTCAAGAGATTCGATGTCTTTCTTTAAATTTATACTATTTTTATGTTCTTTTATGTATACCATTTCAGAAATAAGTCTTTTATTATAGTTGATTTCGTGATCTAATATTTCAGTCCCTTCCCAATTAAAAGTGTGTTTATCATTTAAAATATGTTCAGAAATCATCGAATATCTTGCAGAGTCTAATTTAATATTGTTTTTATGTTCGTTAAGTCTGGTAATTGTCTTTTTGTTTGTCCAATATAGGTTGCGTCACAGTCTCTACAATTAATTTTATATATAACATTTAAATTGCTGGAGTCGTCATTCTTGTCTTTATGTGTTTAATCCAATTGTTTAGATTTTTTAAGACACGATATCCTACATTTACATCCGATTTTTAATATTAACTGACATTTTTTCGAAGATGGATTCTACATATGGAATTGCAACAAATTTGTTATCTTTATCCTTGTTATCGTGAGGACCCTTTTTATTTTCTCTATCCGTTATATTTAATTTGTTGCCGATAAGATTATTAATCTTACGATTTATTTTATTGAAAATAAGAGCAAGAGGGTAGCCATTCGATAACAGAACATTTATAATTGTATACAAATTTTTACCATGGAATCGAAAATGCGACAATAGTAATGTTCTGTTCACTAAATTATAAATAGTGCCTAATTTGTGGCACATCGGATGGTTGGAATAAAAAGATAAAAATTTACCTGAAAAAGGTTTTTTATGGAACCAATCTACATATATCGCATTCTCAATCACATTAAAAGAAACTAATGCTACGATGGGCCAGATAAAAAAATATGGACTTGACCTTGAGTGACCTATTGACGGTCAGGTCAAGTGAAGTTATCGATGTCTTTTTAAATAGAAACCTCTATTGTTTATTACATTTTCTTGTAGCCCTTGTCGAGACGTTTCTAAAACACTACCTATTGATGTCTTTTACGCAAGCCGTTCCCAAGATATAAAGCTTAAAATTCGACATATCATCGGCATTTGCATTACCCGATGTACACCGCGGGAAGGTTAAATTGCTCGGTCGGATCAAAAATTTATTACGTCTTGATAAACCCTAAATGCAATATTCTGCGATGTATGATGATGAAGTTTGCACTCTTTCAGAGAAAAGCGGACAATGTTTCTACTTATTGTTAGTCTTCGTCTAGTATTGTTTATTATTAACTGATTAATAATCAGCCAGACGTGAAATAGACTACTTTCGCTAGTGGTGAGATTTAATTTGATCGAGTATCTTGTTCGTAATAAAGAGAGAGAGAGAGAGAGAGAGAGAGAGAGAGAGAGAGAGAGAGAGAGAGAGAGAGAGAGAGAGAGAGAGAGAGAGAGAAAATGTAAAGATATATTTATGTTTTTCTAATGTCAATCTTTCACAGACTTATCAAGCGCAAAAATTATAATATTCTTTGCCGTGATAGAATCAGGGAATTGTATAAAAATTTGCTTTTCTTTATCTTAATCTTCGTATAAATGCTGACAGCCGAATCGTAATTGTCACTACTTTTTTACTCTAGGCTTCTGTAACAAAATGATAAAATGTAAAATTAACATTTATTTATTTAATTTTTATATTAAAACTATATTATTTTCACACAAAATTTATTTCAAATTACTTAAAACTTTGCATTTTATGGTGTTAATATTTATTAACACCATATTTGTGTCACAATTTAATATATCTATATTATTTTAAATTAACACAAAAATTTTTATGGACCGTTTGGGACATTTAATAAAAATTAATGGTTTATATATACATGTATATAATGCATAATCATATGCAAAAAGCATTAGTTAATTGTGTCTTTTCAGATCAAAAAAATCAGATAAAGAAAAATCGACATTAAATACTCAAACATCAACATGTCTGATCATTTTGAAGGTGATATCTCCATCACGGGCATTTCAGGTAATTGTGCTGATTTTACAATCAATCAATTTCGTATATCAAAGCAATGCATCGATGTTTTTCCAGGTCGTTTACCTGAATCCTCAAACATTGAGGAGTTTAAGGAAAATTTAATGAAAGGAATGGACATGGTTACCGAGGACGAGCGCCGTTGGTCAAAGGGTACTTATGAAGTGCCATCCAGATTTGGCAAACTCAAGGATCTTGGCAGTTTTGATGCCTCGTTTTTCAGGGTACATCCTAAACAGGCGCGCGTAATGGATCCACAGCTTCGCATTATGCTAGAAGTGACATACGAGACGTTAATTGACGCTGGCATTAATCCTTCCACCTTGAAAGGATCACGCACCGGTGTATTCGTCGGTGTTTCTTCTTCGGATGCGAACAATTTTTGGAAGAGAAATGCAAACGGTTTGTACATTTTGCAAATTTTCCTTAAAAATTTCTGACCCATAAAATGATATTATAAAATATTTATTTTAAAAATAATGAAATTAATTTATAAACAAGTATAACGAATATAAGATATCAGATATGTTAGAATTATAAATTCGTATATAGAAACACAAGATATAGAATTATTATGATACAAAAATACAAATAAAAATAAGGTAAACATTAAAAATTAAATATTAATATTATAATAATATTAAAAATTAATATTAAAAATTATTAGGAATTATAAATATTATTAATATATATATACATATATATATATATATATATATATATATATACATATATATGTATATTAAAGTTAGTCGAATAATTAAATATTAATCAGTGAAATTCTTAAATATTATTACGATACCATATTGTCCCACGATTGTCATGAAACAAAAATAAATCTAAGAAAAAATGCTTTTTGTATATGTTTGCATTTCAAATCAAATAATGTAATTATATTATAGAATATTTTGAAATTCTTTAAATAAGCAAAAGTATAGTTTACTAATAATTAAAAAAAGAAATAAAGGGAGAGTCTAAACTTGACTTTGTTAATATTATAATATATTGTGATATTTATTGACATAAATATAATAAGTTACTGTATGTTATTATATATATACATAGTAAAAATAACAATAAATTCTAAAATTTTTAGCAGGTAAAAAAACCATAATCAAATTTTTTTACAAACAATCTGTGGCGGAATCTTAAATGACCTTGAATTATAAATATTTCAATAAATCAAATATATTGCAAAAAAACTACAAACACATGTTTAAAAAAATTATGATTTAAGAAAAGTGATTACTTTCATATGACTTCGGAGTCCCTATTTAGAACAAATTCTTTAAAATAAAAACATGTACCTCTCGCAAGAATATAAATCAAATTACACAATATAAAGTACACCTTAATATCTTATTTATGAATTTATATTTTTCCAACGAAAACTTAATTTTTGTTGGAAATATACGCAGCAACATCCGCGTATGGCTCTTTAGGTCGTTCTTATTTGTGATTATTATTTAATTTTTTCTAACATTAAATATTTATCGATTGTTTGCAGGATATGGATTGCTTGGATGTTGCAGAGCAATGTTTGCTAACAGAATTTCATATGCTTTTGATTGGAACGGTCCCAGTTACGCGATTGACACAGCTTGTTCCTCGTCTTTGGCTGCCTTGCATCAAGCAGTCCTCGCTATAAGGACCGGGGAATGCGACAGCGCGATTGTTGGAGGAATGAATCTTTTGCTCGATCCGGCGAATGCTCTTCACTTTCATCAACTAAATATGCTATCCAACGATGGCAAGTGCAAAACATTCGATGTTACGGCTGACGGTTACGCGAGAGCCGAAGCAGTGGTTGCAATATATCTGCAGAAGGCGATTGATGCGCGCAGAGTGTACGCCACAGTGATGAATACAATGGTAAACACGGATGGTTATAAGCCTGAAGGTATCACGTATCCAAACGGGAACATTCAATGTCAGATGTTGCACGAGGTATACAACAAGGTGGGTCTCGATCCCAAGAATGTTGTTTACATGGAAGCTCATGGAACCGGTACCAAAACGGGGGATCCAGAAGAACTCGCTGCCATTGATAAACTGCTCTGTAAAGATAGAAAGACACCACTGCTGATAGGCTCGGTTAAGTCAAATATGGGACATTCGGAACCCGCCAGTGGATTGTGCTCCATTGTTAAGGTGCTGATCGCGATGGAAACAGGTGTAATTCCTGCGAATTTAAACTTCACTATTCCAAATCCAATGCTCCCTGCACTAAAAGAAGGACGAATGCGTGTGGTCGACAAAATCACATCTTGGAACGGCGGTCTCGTGGGTATCAATTCGTTCGGTTTTGGTGGCTCTAATTCGCATGTCATTCTGCGCAGTAACCCAAAAGCAAAGATGTCGTCAGTGTCAGAAACTGTCGAACCGATGCTGCCGAAGCTAGTTATCGTGTCAGGTCGAACGAAAGATGCTACAGACGTGTTACTGGATAAGGCAACAGAGCATCTGCAGGACAAGGAGTTTTTATCACTATTACATGCTGTGCACAGTGTTAATATATCAGGACACAACGTTCGCGGCTACGAGATACTTGGTCATGACAATACGCGCGAAGTGGCCGAGGCCAATTATGATAAGAAACGTCCCATTTGGTTTGTATTTTCCGGTATGGGTTCTCAATGGCCAGGTATGGGTCGCGAATTATTTCACATCGAAATTTGCCAACGCAGTTTGCGACAATGTGCGGATATCTTAAAAAACCAAGACATCGACCTAATAAATATCATCATGAATGGTACTGACGAGATTTACGAGAACGTAATAGTTGCTTTTGTATCAATTGTGGCCATCCAAATCGCTCTCGTCGATATGTTGATATCTATAGGCATACAACCAGACGGCATAGTTGGACACTCTATCGGTGAATTAAGCTGTTCCTATGCCGACGGTGCGTTTACATTGGAACAAACCATATTGGCAGCTTACTACAGAGGCAAAGCGATTGTAGATTCAAACTTGAAACCGGGTGCTATGGCAGCGATTGGTTTAAACTGGGAGGAAGCTAAAACGATATGTCCGTCCGATATCGTTCCAGCCTGTCACAATTCCGCACGTTTGGTTACTATAAGCGGCCCATCTATTTCTGTAAACATGTTTGTCGAGAAGCTGAATAAGAAAAATATTTTTACCAAGATGATTAAATGCTCTGGCATTGCTTTTCACAGCAAATACGTTGCCGAGGCAGAATTTAAGTTTCGCAATTCACTCGACATGATCATAACAAAACCGAAGCAGAGATCTCACAGATGGATCTCTAGTTCGGTTCCCAAGGTCGCGTGGAAAAGTCCACTTGCACAGTTCAGCTCAACTGATTATCACGTGAATAATTTGTTATCGCCCGTACTCTTCTACGAAGCGACTGCGCACATCCCAGAGAACGCCATAACCATTGAAATCTCGCCGCATTGTTTACTTCAGGCGATCCTTTGTCGATCGCTACCACCGACGGTGACAAATGTCAGTCTTCAAAAACGGAATCATTCAAACAACCTTATCTTCTTGCTGTCTAATGTAGGAAAATTGTATAATGCCGGAGCGCAACCAGATATCTCCAAATTGTATTTGCCGGTCAGTTTTCCTGTTGGTCGTGGAACACCAATGATCGGACCTTTAGTCAAATGGGACCATTCCGTTACGTGGGAGGTGCCAAATTTTAAGCATAGGTCAGGAGAATTGTCGAACAAGCACATTGTGGAAGTAAATCTAACAAGAAAGATGGATGCGTTTCTAACTGGACACAAAGTCAACGGAAAACTTATCTTTCCTGGCGCCGGTTTTATTCTGATGATTTGGAAAACTTTTGCCAAACTACATGACATCAATTTCGAACAAATACCAATAATCCTAGAGAATCTACAGTTTCATCGTGCTACCTTTGTGCCGGAGAAAAAAACAATCAAGTTTTTCGTAAATATTTTTGAAATAACGGGTAATTTTGAGATCTGTGAATCCAATGCGGTCGTTGTCAGTGGAAACATACGCGTAGCTGAGGCCATCGAAAAAGAGCAGCTAAATCGATCACCGATACCGCTCGTTAATAAGGAGCACTCATTACCAATGAATACAGAGGACATTTATAAGGAATTGAGGCTGCGCGGTTATGAATATAGTGACATTTTCAAAGGGATAAAGTCCTGCAATTGCGACAAAACCATAGGTGAGCTATATTGGTTTAACGAATGGACCTCGTACATAGACAGTATGTTTCAATTTACCGTATTGTTCAGTGAAAGAAAAGTGGTGTACATATCGGGAATCCGTTATGTCGCAATCGATCCTGTTTTTCATAAACAATTGGTTGATGAATTACCAAAACACAGTGGATTACCCGTATATTATTACAAGAACATCGCCGTTATCAAATCGGGTGGTATCGAAGTGAGAGGTATAAAACCTACTGCACCTATACGACAACAAGTTCAAGTCAGACCTAAATACGAAAGTTATGATTATGTATCTTATGAAAATCCGCACAACTTTATTCTGAAAGATCCCATAAAAGGAAAAACACACGCGCTTACCGTGTTATTACAAACAGTTTGTGAAAACGTTATGACATCGAGAATCAAAATCGTAGAAGTTGTGGGCAATCGAGCCGCAGAAGACCTTTTAATGCCGCTTGTACACGACATTTTATACAGCGAACCCTTCTGTAATGTAAGTACTAATTGCAAAAAAAAAACATAATTTCAGAAATCAAAATATATTTGAAATAATAACTATGATTGATAAATATTCTGTAATTTGCAAATGTAAATTTGCATATAATTTGCAACTTTTTCCAGCAAGTTTTTATTTCATCGTTTACTTCATACACAATTTTAAGTGTCAAAATATCGCTTGTTTCAGGTGGATTTACAGATAGCCATCAATTCCGCCAAAAATTACGCAAAACATTTTAATCGAGTGAATGTAAAAATTAACACTGTGACATGGAATGAAGCATCCTTAAGTCAGAATGTGCATCTTATCATAGCCGCAAATATTCAGTCTTTTACACATCTTACAAATCTAGCTGCTGTCTTGAAATCAGGTTGTTTTATTCTTCTGGAAGTGACTGCTGAACGATTCGATTTTGAGACCAGGTTGAAAGAGGAGAATCTGGTGTTAGTCGGAAAACAAATTGGTTCTTCGGGAAAGAGTTATGTTTTGTTGAGAAAGCGAAATAAGAAAAGAGAGTCGATTGTAATATCAATTACAGGAAAACATTTTTCATGGTTGGACAATGCGAAACAAGTATTTAAAAAATTTGATAGTGAAAATCAAGAAATACTTTTTGTGTCTCAGGACAAAGATTCACTTGGTAAAGTTATAAAATAAATGACGTACAAATTAGTTTATACATTTGCGTGTATTATCAACAAATTGTGAAGCACATTTATTTTTAATTTGCAGGCTTAATTGGATTGATGAATTGTATTCGGCGTGAGACCACAAATGTACGTTACGTGTTTATTCATGATGATAACGCTCCCAAATTTGATTTATCCACTCAGTTTTATGTGGAGCAATTAGATAAAGGATTAATAGCTAATGTGTTAAAAGGAGGTCAATGGGGTAGTTATCGGCACTTCCAATTAGATTGTTCTGGCAAAATTCAAGTTGAGCACGCCTACGTGAATACATTAACGAAAGGAGACTTGAGCAGTCTGGAATGGATTCAAAGTCCGATAACATACTGCCAGACTAATTATCAAAGATCTATCTGCAGTGTGTATTACGCCTCGTTAAATTTCAAGTAAGTTTCGCGGAGTGTCGTTTGTTCGTCCAGTTGATAACATAGTTGGATAACATATAACAAATATATTTTATATTAACAATAGGGATATCATGTTAGCAACCGGTAAAATATCAATGAACGAAATCCCGGGATTGCCTAAAGAGGACTTTATATTAGGTATTGAGTTTTCCGGAAGAGATGTAAATGGAAATAGAGTCATGGGTGTGATCAGAGGTAAAGGGTTGGCGACCACTGTTGTGTCTGATTCCGATTTTCTTTGGAATGTACCTGACAAGTGGACGTTGGAGCAAGCGGCTACAATTCCTGTCGCTTATATGACTAGTTATTACGCTCTGTTTGTACGAGGTCGGTTAAAAAGGGGAGAGACCGTGCTGATTCACACTGGTGCGGGTGCGGTTGGTCAAGCAGCGATCACCATTGCATTGCATGCCGGCTGCACAGTCTTCACCACTGTTGGTACATTGGAGAAGCGGCTGTATCTTAAAAAAATTTTTCCACAATTGTCCGATAAGCACATCGGCAATTCCCGTGATACGAGTTTCGAGCAATTAATTCTCGATAATACCCAAGGACGTGGGGTGGACGTGGTATTAAACTCTTTAGCGGAAGAAAAACTGCATGCCAGCGTACGGTGTCTCGCAATAAACGGTCGTTTTCTAGAGATAGGGAAGTATGACATGATGAATGGCAACCGCATAGATATGTCGATATTTTTAAAGAACATTGCCTTTCACGGTATACTGTTTGAAATGCTCTTTGAGAACTACGTGGACAAACGAGAAACAATTATGCTTTTCTCGGAAGGAATCGAGAACGGCGTAGTGCGCCCGTTATCAACAACAATATTTTCAGACCAACATCTCGAACAGGGATTTAGATTTATGGCGACAGGCAAACACATCGGCAAGGTATTGTTCCGAATCCGGGAAGAGGAAACGCAGAATCGTGTGCTACCGATTTCTAGAATGATGACTGCTATGCCGCGAACTTACATGCATCCGGAGAAGTCATACGTGCTGATTGGTGGTCTCGGTGGATTTGGCTTGGAATTGGCCAATTGGATGATTGCTCGCGGTGCCAGGTTTATAATTCTCGTGGCACGTACCGGTGTACGCACCGGTTATCAGGAATCGCGAGTGCATTATTGGCGCGAAAGCGGCATCCGTATCGTCATTTCTACGGCAGATGTCACAACATCATTGGGCGCCGAACGTTTAATCAAAGAAAGTAACCAACTGGCTCCGGTAGGTGGTATATTTAATCTGGCGGCTGTGATGCGCGATGCTTTGTTCGAAAACCTTGACGTGGACGACTTCGAGAGTGTAATATTGCCAAAAGTCAACGCTACGAGAAATTTGGATGAAATATCGAGAAAATTCTGTCCATCATTAGATCATTTTGTCGTGTTTTCATCCGTGTCGTGCGGTCGCGGCAATTCAGGTCAATCTGCTTACGGATATGCAAATTCGGTTATGGAGAGAATGATGGAACAGAGATGTGCTTCGGGTTTGCCCGGTCTTGCTATTCAATGGGGTCCTATCGGAGATGTCGGTTTATACGTAGGTGAGTCTTATCTTTTTATTTCCATGAGTTTCTGTAATTTTCAATATTTTTCAGATCTTATTGCATTTCTTTGAGGTTTTTATAAAATAACCTTTAAATTTCATATTCAATTTTTTTTTATAAGATTTGTCTTTTATAAGATTGTCGATATAGTGTGATTTTGTACAACTCTTTAGAAAGATATTAAAAGAAATAAATATTGTAGGTCAACTAAACGAGCAAAATTATATAAGATATAAAGATTTATTAATAATTAAATTCTCATTCCATTAGAGAAACAATATACAACGTAAACGTTTCGACTGCACTACAGTCTTTTTTAATACATAAAACTCAAATATTAAAATACAAAGTTAATGATTCTTCGCTGATGAACAATGGATGAGTAAGACGATTGATCTGAGATTCAGGGTTTTGCGACATTTAATTATCCTGTGGAGATTTTACGCGAATTAATTAATATCAGAGAAAATTGAAAAATCTTTCAACTTACATTATCGTTTTAACAAGTTCTTCTTCTTGAAATTTCAAGTTTGTGTTGCGAAGTCTAAATAACAAATGTCAAGATAAAAAGCGTGATGTATATATTTATTACCAATGTTTTTCTAAACTATGATTCAGCTAATTTTGTAAGTATGTCAAAATAACTACTGTCTAGCAATTCAGTGTCTTTGTTTAAATTAATTCCATTTTTCTGTTCTTTAATATGAATCATTTCAGATATTAGCCTTTTATGGTAATTCTTTTCATGATCCATAATCTTAGTGTTATCTCAGTCAAATGTATGCTGTTCATTTAAAATGTGTTCCGTGACAACTGAATGCTTAGCAGAGTCTAATTTAATATTATTTTTATGTTCTTTAAGTCTCGTTTCTAACTGTCTTTTTGTCTGTCCGACATATGTGGCGTCACAATCATTGCAATTCAATCTATAAATAACATTAGAATTCTTGGGACAATCGTTTCTGTCCTTTTGAACCCTTATGAAGTTATTCAATTTTTTAATGCAACGATATCCCACCAATATATCTGGTCTTTTTATTGCTGAAGCGATTTTATCAGAAATTGATTCTATATATGGTATAACAAAATATTTGATGTTTGTATTTGTGGTATTGGTATCTATTATATTGTTGGTATTAGACTTGCTAAATTTCTTCGTTGAAAGATGTTTTAATCTGCATTTTATTTCTATGAAAATTAAGTCAAGAGGATAACCATTGGATAGCAAAATATTAATAGTTTTCTCTATTTTTTTCTTGTAAAATTGAGGATGTGATAGCAATATAGCTCTATCTACCAAGCTATAAATTGTTTCTAATTTATGACAAGTCGGATGATTTGAAAAAAATGAGAGTAATCTATCTGAGAATGTCTTTTTGTGATACCAATCTAAATAAATTTTATTATCTATTACTTTGATCATTATGTCTAAAAAGCTTATACATCAATTATCTTCTTTTTCTAATGTAAATTTTAGTCTGTCGTTATAATTGTTGAATTCATTGAAAACGTATGTAATATTGTCAACGGAAGTGCATATAATAATATCATCTACATAACGGAAATAGAAAGTCAGTTCGCAATTTAAATTACTAATTACCAATGTTTCCAAGTCCTGCATGACTATATCGGCAATGATCGGAGAAAGTTGGGAGCTCATAGGAGTCTTATAAATTTGTTTGTAAGTTATGTTATTGAAAGTAAAAAATGTAGAAGCTAATATAAATTTTATCATACTTATGAAGTCAATTTTGGGAATCTTTGTGTGTGACTCTATAAAATGCTATCTACTATTGATACCGTTCAATGCAAGAACTACGGAGACATTAGTAAATAATGAAACTACATCTAATGAAATTATTGTGTCGGAATATTATATAACAAAGACACTGAATTGCTAGACAGTAGTTATTTTGACATACTTTAAAAATTAGCTGCATCATAGTTTAGAAAAACGTTGGTAATAAATATATACATCACGCTTTTTATCTTGACATTTGTTATTTAGACTTTGACACACACACTTGAAATTTTGAGAAGAAGAACTTGTTAAAACGATAATGTATGTTGAAAGATTTTTCAATTTTCTCTGATATTAATTAATTCGCGTAAAATCTCCACAGCATGATTAAATGTCGCAAAACTTGGAATCTCAGACCAATCGTCTTACTCATCCATTGTTCATCAGCGAAGAATCGTTAACTTTGTATTTTAATATTTGAGTTTTATGTTTTGAAGAAGACTGTAGTGCAGTCGAAACGTTTACGTTGTATATTGTTTCTCTAATGGAATGAGAATTTATTTATTAATAAATCTTTATATCTTATGTAATTTTGCTCGTTTAGTTGACCTACAATATTTATTTCTTTTAATTTCGTTAATTTATATAAGCCTTTCATCAATTAATTTTAGAAAGATAATTATATTCTTTATTATGTTCTTATTATCAAGAGTGTAATTTTAGTATTGAAAAAAATATAAATACAGTATAGAAAAAATACGAGATATATTATAAGTTTTGTTCTAAAATAATTAGAATGTAATTAATAATTAATATTTTATTAAAAAAAAGATAACTAATTAATTAATATTTTAATATATGAAATATTTTTTCGATATTTTTCTTAACTAAAGTTAATAATAATTGTTTATTATGATACCATTATGTTTTTTCTGTTTATAGATATGAAGAATAAGAATATCAATTTAAGCAATATTTTACCGCAATCTATGAGCAGCTGCCTCGCAACTATGGATGTCTTTCTTCAACAGCAATATCCTATACTATCGTCTGTGGTAGTAGCTAATAAGAAACATAAAACCGCGAATAGCGACAGCAAAGTTAATTTTGCTCAAATTTTTAATGTTCTCGGTATCAAAAATTTTCTGTCAAAAAATCTCGATGACAGTTTCGAGAAACTGGGTGTCGACTCACTGGGCTATGTAGAGATCAAACAGATTCTTGAAAAAGATTATGATATAGTATTATCATTCCGAGAAATCCGTACTTTGACAGTAGGCAAATTGCGAGATTTAGTTTTGGCAAATGACGTATCTTGCGATTTTTCTACGAGTTAGAAAAAATATAAACATAACTGTGAATTCTTTATAGTATATATTTATTATAATTTATATTTAAACTATTTTATTAAAACTTTTTATATATGAAAGTCTTATTGTTTTGAACTTCTATTTTTTCTTCTGTCTGGTAATATAATGATGATTGTATTTATTTTAATAAATACATTTTGCTGTATAAAAGTAAATGAAACAAATAAATATTTTTTGAGATATTTTGTCGTTTCGGAATTTTTGTCCCTTTCTGTATATATTTAAATATTGAGATTTATTTTAATTTTGATTTCATTGAAAATGTAATTATTCTTCTATTGAGACGCTCGCTGTTTTACCTTGAGATGCAATGCGTTAACATGTTTTTTTGTGATAAATAATAATTACTATATAAAAATAACACGTGCACGCATTGGATTACTGTTTGAACTTACAAAGTTGAGTCAGATAAAATTTGTTGTGTGCCGCTGAACCGGCACAAGGGTCGCGCCGAATTTGGATAAGGATTCGGGGCGTCAAGGAAGTCTTCGGATATTGTCAAATTGGAACTTTTTATGATTTATCTATTACACTTTTATTCAATTCGCATACATTTTTGGGTTTTTTAATTATACTTTACTTATAAACTTATATTTGAATATAATATACAATATAATGGGGATATACTGACATTCGAGTGGCGACAGCGTTACGTTTTACGAACTCTTGGTTACTTTTTATTAACGACTGCTTCAAGCGCGTCTTCTGCTCGATTTATATGAACGGATTTTGGGAGGTCTCTTACTCTGAAGGGGTGTCTGGCAACAGGTTTTCTTAGTCAAAAACCTGAGTGCAAGCGAAGCAAATTCGAAGTCCTTTTGCTTTGCTCGTACTTTAGGCAATTTCGGTTTCGCGCGTATCTCGCAGCGTCTGCGTTTTTCGCGCGATCGACATCCGTCATCAAGTGGATGTAATACAAGTCGTTATAGTTATTTAGGGCTATAACAAATTACTCAAGTGTAATTTAGAGGTGATTAAAAAATATTGTGTTTAAATAAAAGTAGGTTTAAATCGCAAGTTTACGAAAAAAAATTAATTATAACATATAATAAAAAAAAAAAAAATAATAATATAATATTACTCAAGTGTAATTTAGAGGTAATTAAAAAAATATTGCGTTTAAATAAAAGTTGGTTTAAATCGCAAGTTTACAAAAAGAAATTAATTAGAACATAATAATAAAATAATATAATAATAAACAAATCACAAATGACGATGATTTCTTTCTAATTATCAAATAGATGTAGTTTTGTACAAAACTATTTGTGGTTTAATACTCTATGTGTTACAAACCTTTTAATTCTAAACTAAAATTTTTTGCTAACATTTTTTTGTCTTAAATCATAGCTATTTATGTCTACTTTCATAAATAAACAGATTTCTTTGTGTTCGAAATCGAACTCTCAAAATTGAGAAACCTGCAAAGTAAAAGCATTAATCATCCGCATGCACCCTTTTTCATGCATCATGCATCACGCAAATGATCGTAAAATAAAAATGTAATTCTACATTAGGAAATTAGCGTTCGGCCGCAGGGGTATACTTTTAGTATGGTTACCAAACAGTAATGTTATATTCAGACATTAAAAAAATTTAACTTATTGTTAGGAAAAAAGTTAATAAAAGTTAATAAGAAGTTAAATTCAAGGTCCAAAATAACTAGTTAAAGTTAAAAATTAATACATTTTAAATTAAGTAAGTTAAGTTAAAAGTTATTAACTTTTACCTTTTTTTAACGTTTAACTAATTAACTAGTTATTACCCAACTCTGATTAAAAGTTACTTAAAAAGATATTGCGTTTAAATAGAAATGCGTTTAAATCGCAATATTTTATGAAGAATGTTCTTTATAATTTTTTTATAAAGAAAACATTAATAAGAAAATAAACTAGTCAAGAAAAATAGGAATACTTTTAAAATTTTAAAAATTAGGCCATTTTCAAACTTTTGAAACTCGGGAAAAAATCATTGTAGGACAAATATTAAAAAAGTGTTTTAAAGTTCAAAGTTTCAACTTTAACGCACAGTCAATGAATTTTTAATTTTATTAATCTTCCCTATTGTATGCTTTGAAAACAAACACTGTTTTGTTTCTTAAAATTACGTATCTTTGACAACTTGAAACTCAATAAAAAAAATTTCTTTCGAAAAATTCAACTAACGTTTCAAAAAGTACAATATTTTTCCTACAAGACACTTTTTTTAAAAGTTTTTTATGCTTTTTTTTGACCAATTTACACGATTGTGAAATAAACCTTGTATTTTTTGGAGATTATGTCGTAACTCGATGAAAAATCATCGTAGACAAAAAATTAAAAAAGCATTTTAAAGCTCGAAATATCAACTTTAACGCGATATCGGTGGTTATAAAAAGTTTTTCTATCTTTTTTATTTGGTGCTAAATCTAAAAATAATGATTTGTTCTTTAAAATTGCATATGTTTGACACACCGCAGTTTCATGAAAAATTCTTTTTCGAAAAAATTCAACTCATGTTTTATAAACTACAACATTTTATTTACAAATACTTTATTTTAAATTTTTTTACAATTTTTTTTTTCACCGATTTCAAAGTCAACTTTTTTTCTTGAAAAATGACGTGTACCACAGATATTAGTGTTACCCAATGTGCACTATGTGGAGGTTGCAGGTTGGATTTTGCACATTGTGTGTATGTGTATGTATAACTAATGGCTTCCTTGGGTGATTTATAATGAAAAAAAAAAAAAAAAAAAAAATAATAAATGCAAATGCTGTTCTTTGGAAATTCGATTATAAATCACAAGAAGTAGTCATGTTATCTCTCAAGATAAGAAATATCAGTGAGTTTTTCAATTGAAGAATAATTACAAATATAATTTCAATGTATTCCAAAATCAGAATAAATCTTAATATTTAAATCATATGCAGGGTGTCTTATATTTAAAGAGTCACACCCTATTGCGTCAATTGAAAAAAATTACGATAAATCATCAATAATTAACAAGATTTAGTTGCATCACATCTTAAGAGAGCAAATTGAATAGAAGAGGGAGGAGGACAAAGGATGGAGAAAGCAAGCAGTAGTATAGAAGTCGTCTGTTCACTTAGATTCTATTTAAGTTTAAACTTAACACATATAACTACCTATATACCTTCAAGCTTTAAAATGCTTTTTTAATTTTTTGTCTACGATGATTTTTCGTCGAGCATGGACATCATTTCTAAAAAATACAGATTTAGTTCTAAAATTAATAATTCGGTCAAAAAACATCGTAAGAAAATTTAAAAAGTAGCGTTTTGTAGGCAAAATGTTATAGTTTATATTGAATATAAGTAGAATTTTTCAAGATAAATTTTTTTATTAAAGTGCCAAAAATACATAATTTTATGAAGCAAAACTATAGCAATATATGTTTGTTCTTAGTACAAAACAAAGAAATTAAAAAATTTATAAAAACCACGAATAATACATTAATGTTAAAATTGCAAGCTGTAAAATGCTTCTCTAATTTTTTGTTTACGATTATTTTTCGCCGAGTCTCGATATATAAAAATAAAATAAAAGTTTACCTTTAAAATTATATAACTCACTTAAAAAAAGGTCGTAAGAAAATTTTAAAAATAGCGTTTTGTAGCAAAAATATTGTACTTTATGAAATTCGAGTAGAATTTTTTGTGAGAAACTTTTTTATCAAAGTCCAGTGTCAAAAATATGTAATATTAAGGAAGAAATCAATGTATCCATTTTTAAAGCATAGAAGGGAAAGATAAAATAATTTTTTTAAATCAGCCTTCGGACTCCGGGTTAAAGTTAAAACTTAAAGTTTTAAAATGTTTTAATCTACGATGATTTTTTGTCAAGTTTTAGTGGTTTGAAAATAGTACAATTAAGATAGGAATAATGGTCCCTATTTTTTTTAAGTAGTGTATGTTAATAGAAGTAAAAAGTCTTCTCATACCTAGTTTTACATCTTCCACTAATTTCCTTAAGATCATGGGTACACTTGAATATAATCTGAGAGTTTCTTTTATGACCATATCGAGGTACTTTAATTGCGACAGCTCCTTTGAGATATTTTGCCGTTTCGGAACTTTTGCTCCTTTCTGTATTTGTTTAAATATTGAGACTTATTTTGATTTGATTTTCATTGAAATTGTAATTATTCTTTAATTGAGAAGCTCGCTGTTTTACTTTAAGACGCAATAAATTAACATGTTTTTTCGTGATAAATAATCAAGAGACACGCCGTGTCTCTTTACGCGAGTCAGGCAGTTGAGAGTACTCGATATTTTCAGTTCTCATATAACTGCTGAACGGATCGAGTTCTAAATAGTCTTAATCGAAAGACTGAGTCTCAATTATATAATAAAAGTGTTTTTATTTTTACGCTAACGTGCTATATAAACAGAAAAATCATGTGCAAAGTCTCTATCGTGAAAATTTCAAGTAAGAAACGTCTCCGTCGTCGTCATTATCATCGTCGACTACTTTTGATATATGTATATATAATATATATATATGTCTACATAAAAATGTCCAAGTTCCAATTTTTCACATAAGATGACGTTAGTTAGCGTTGCGTTTATCTTTAAAGGCTATCGCACACAATTGCATAATAAGTTGCATATGCATTTAATATATATTAAATATATTGTGTGGTTTTAAACGTTTATTGAACGATCGGTGGGCAAGGAATGTTCAGGGAGATTAACGATAACCGGGTTGGTTGTCGAAGGCTCCCTTTAATTTTATTAATTAAATAATAATGATGGTGTCGTTCCTCTGGTCTGGTAGTCTTTCGCTCGTCCTTCTTTCAACGGGAGCGGGTTAAAATCGCTACAGCGCAAAGATCCACAAACTCGAAGGGATTCGGTGGACGCACTTTTCGGAGAATACAGAGCGAAAACTGTTTCGATAGAGTATCACTGACTTGTGGTCGCTTAGACGGCTGAACGCAGACATACTCGGAATCGACCGTCGGATCGCAGGAACCCGCCGGTTTCGGAGAAAAGTAAG